CCGCCCTTTTCCCTCTACTCTACTGAAGTCTTTCTTGTTTTCTTCAAAAGTATTCTTAGGAATCATTTTACTTTATCCTACTTCAGAAAAGCTTAATATCTTCATGAAGAGTGCACATTTTGGTCTGTCTAGAAAATAACAAGCATGCATAAGATGCACAATTTTCCTTTGTGGTGGTTGAAATGGTATCATTAGCAATTTCTAAAATGATAAGTGGTATGACATATTAAACATAATACAATTGAGGTTTCTAACAGACGAGCCCCACTTTCAAACTTCTGTTCAGGGATTGTTATCCAGTTTTGTTGTACATCTTTGATAATGGAAACATTGACCTTTTCCTATGTCAGAAATACTCATAAATAACAGTGATAAATTTGCAGAGTTACATTTAATCACTTCCATTGAGAGCTAGAGAGAAGAAATTATTTACCCAAAATATTATAATAACTATTGACAAAGGTAGAAGGATAATTCAAAACTTTGCCCATTTATGGCTACATAATACATGTGTCAGTTGCTCTCTAAATTATTGGAAATCAGGAAAGCTGGGTACCATTCCCATTTGCCCTTCAAGAATTCAATGTATATCCTACAAAATTAAGAAGAGGTGAGGGGAAGGTGTGGCTAGGGGGAGGGACAGGTGAGAATGTTGGAAGGGATGAGATTAATCAAGATGGATTGTATTCATAAACTGCTTTGTTAAGTGGCAATTCCTTTGTACACCTACTTTAAAGACTGTCTCTCTGTCTCTGTCTCTGTCTGTCTCTCTCTCTCTGTCTCTCTTGTACTCTCTGATTCATTTCAATCTATTAGTTCTCCAGGACTTTTGGCTCACTTGGGAAATGAACTCCTGGACTATAGGCTAAGTTCCTAGCATCCTCCCTCACATTCTGAGACACTACCCCTTCGCTATCCAAATACTAATCAGGCCTGACCCTCTTTAGCTTTCAAGATCAGATGAGACAGGCTCATTCAGACAGGTGTGGACATAGATATCTACCTTTTCTCTAAGAGAAGCTAAAGATCCAAGTATACTAGTGGGTCAGTTGGAAGCCAGAGAGAGAGAGTTGACTAGTGAAAGTTAGTGTGTGTCATCATTCACTAGACCCAGCAGCCAGCCAAGGCTTTCTCTGAACCTTTATTTTCTGATTTAGAGACATTTTGCAAGAGGCTAATTTTAGGCATATTCCACACTTGTGTCCTTTATAGCAGAAGAGTGTTTAGATTACCTGTCCTGTGAGCAATGCTTCCATAGAAGCAGACAGTCTCTCCTTAGAAACCGACCAAACCTTATATATTGCTGCTGGTTTTAAGTTAGTGAACTGAATATCGGAGCCAAGCCTCAATACAAACAAAATATTTTCTGGTCAAGCATTTTCTGGTTTGTTCAACTCTATTACAGGGCTGAGTCTAAAGGGGGAAAAAGTTAAAACCCACAGAGAAGTAAAACACAAGCTCTGGGAAGATAATTTCCAGCCACATTAACTCAGATCATCAGGGTAGAAAAGAAACAGGGCCCTCATACTCCAGACCATCATCAGCTCCAGACTCTCATCCTGCCCTCTTATGCTATTTTAATTTCACCACTTCAAAATGGGGGAAAATAGGTTAATAGTTTCCATGAGTTTAGTCTGTGACCAAAGGCATACCAAGCAATTTTAGAACCTCAGGCAACCACAGCTCTGAGGAGAGGATGATGATGGATTTACCAATTCATTTTAGGATAGAATCCAGGGTTGGAGGAGATGGCCAGCACAGTGCTACCCTGGTATGATTAAATATTCTTCCTTCCTTCATTCTTTCTCCATATATTCGTTCTCAGCATACTTTTATTCCAAAAAGTATATTGAGACATAGAATTATATTAAGATTCAGTCCCTTCCCCTAATGAAATTACAGAGTAGTAGAGAAAATAGACCTATACACAAACAATTTTGTATGTACTGGTGCTGGGGCTTGAGCGCAGAGTCTGGGTGCTATCCGTAAGTGGGTATTATTTTGTTGTGTTGATTGTTTTTTGTTGGTCACGGGGCTTGAACTCTGGGTCTGGGCACTGTCCCTCAACTCCTCAGCTCAAGGCTAATGCTCTACCACATGAGCCACAGTAGTTTATTAGGAATAAGGGTCTCGCGGACTTTTCTGCCCAGGCTGGCTTTGATCCATGATCCTCATATCTCAGCCTCCTGAGTAGCTAGGATTACAGGTGTGAGCCACTGACATCTGGCTTATCCTCAAGTTTATTTATTTATTTATTTTATTGTGAGAATACCATACAGAGGAGTTACAATTACATGGGAAATATAACCAGTACATTTCTTATCAAGCATTGTTGCCTCCTCTTTGTTTCCCCTTCCCATCCCTTCCCATACTCCTCCTCCTCCCCCCATCCGATCCTCTCCCCCCAACCCGATCCTCTACCTCCACCAAAGTTGTCAAGTTCGTTTTTCGACATAACGACTTGTACATCTCATTGTTGCAATGGGTCCACCTGTATCCCTATTTAAACAATTTGTTTTTTCCCTTCCCCTCCACAAATTATACCAATATTAAATACAGTGAAAGCATGGGTTATACTGTGGGGGAGGGACATACAAAGCAACATAGAAATCATCTTATAAATATGCTAGAAACAATTGCATGAAAGGAAAAAAAACAAAAACAAAAAAACATTTGAACACTTATCTTGGGGTTCATTCCCCTAACATCAACTTAGCTGACCTTTTCTGGTTGACTCAGACATATACTAGTTTTTGCAAATAAGGGAAACCATGGGACCTATGTTTCTTTGGGCCTGGCTTACTTCACTTAATATAATTTTTCCAAGCCTTTCCATTTCCTAACAAATAAGACAATGTCATTCTTTCTGATGGAGGCATAGAATTCCATTGTGTATATATACCACATTTTCTTGATCCATTCATCTACTCAGGGACATCTGGGTTGGTTCCATATCTTAGCTATGAACTCAAAAAATTAAATCTCCCCAAAACAAATCTTCAAAGAAACAACTGCCCAATAAGTAAGTGGGCTAAAGACTTAAAGAGAAACTTCTCTGAAGAGGAAAGAAGAATGTCCAATAGACACATGAAGAAATGCTCAACCTCTCTAGCCATAAAAGCAATGCAAATCGAAACAACATTGAGATACCACCTCACCCCAGTTAGAATGGCTATAATCAAGAACTCTGATAACAACAGATGCTGGAGGGGGTGTGGACAGAAGGGAACCCTACTGCATTGTTAGTGGGAGTATAAACTTGTTCAACCACTTTGGAAAGCAGTTTGGAGGTTCTTCAAAAGACTCCACATAGAGCTCCTCTATCACCCAGCAATTCCACTTTTGGGCATTTACCCAAATGATCACAAACAAGACCATGCTAAAGCTACCAGCACAACTATGTTTATTGCAGCATTATCCTCAAGTTTTTATATCCAAGTCTTCCACTTGAGCTCAGTTTCACTTCTGCTCTTTTGATAGGTAATTGGAGATATGTCTCATAGACTTTCCTGACCAGGCTGGTTTTGAACCACAATCCTCAGATCTCAGCTCCCTTATTAGCTAGGATTATAGACATGAGCCACAAATATCCTGCTTACAAAAACAATTTTAATGATGTACACTTAGTAAGTGCTGTAAGCAAAGTAAATAAATTGCTCAGAGTAAGAAATTAAGAAATTAAGAAAGTAAAAAAAAGAAGCAATTCATTCCACATGGGATCATCAGGAAGGCTTCTAAGCTGTAACTTCAATGGTCAAAATGGCATTTTTTTTTCATTCATCTGGAAGCCTGAGCCAAAGCACAAATGTCTGGAAGTTACTCATAGGTTTGAATAAGAGTGAGCAGTGTAGAACGTGGTTTTCTAGAGATGACACTAGGAAAGAAGATTGGACACCATGTAAAGAGTTAGCTCTTTCTACATGATGGAGCTGTTAAGCTGTTGTATACCTGGAAAGGAATTTGGAAGTACTACAGAAGAGATGCAAACAAGGAAGTCAGCTTAGAGGGCTGATTTCAAGACACTAGTTACCTCCATAAAAGTACATCTTACTTCAAAGCACTTAAGATTCTCTTAACAAGAGGAAAATCATACCTCAATTTCCATATCCCATTCAGTTCCATATCTTTCTAATGAGACATATACCCTAGGTCTATTAGATTCCAGAGACTTAGTCCAGATAGCTTAGTTGAAGTAAAATTGTTTAATAGTACATGGGATCCTAGAGAATGATAGAAAGATAATATTTGATCTTCTGAAGGCTAGCTCACAGACTGGTGTCTCTCTTCAGGATTATATGTATCTTTTTAATCACAACATATTTTAAAGCTAGAGAACATGTATTTCTCAATTCCCTTTTCAACATTTCTATCAAGAGTTCATGGACCCTACACTTAGAGAGGGTGTTTGAATCAACATTTTAAATGACCAGAACCTTTGTTAGTACTAAGTTTCAATTGGGTATACTGTGTCAATCATCAGACAAACCATTCTCTAAAAAAAAAAATCAAGTATTACAAGTAAGAGGAAATTATTTACTAGGTGGAAAATCTGATGTAATTCAGCTATCCAACTGCAGCCAGAGACCTCATCTAGCCCAATACCTGTTTTTGTAAATAAAGCTTTACTAGAACACATTCATGCCCTTAGTTTATGTTCTTTGTAGAGAAGTTTTTGAGAAGTACAGGACAAAACCAAGCTGTTCCAGCAAAGCCAGAACTGCTTACTGTCTGAACATTTAGAGATAACTTTACCATTACTCTCGCTATAGAGGGAAAGAGCGTGGATGAAGTAAGAAAGCATAGATTCTCAATCCTGGGTTTGGTATCTACCACCTGGGTACCCCAAGGAAAGTTGATTGGCCGCCTTGTTTGCTTCTTGTAAATAGAAATGTGCTCTGCCCCCCTCAGTGCTGTGATAAGTAGATGTTTGGTAAAATACTTCTCCTCCTCTTCAGAGCTCCTTCAGTCCCAGGCTAATAAAGTCTCCTCTTCCGCCTCAGAATACTCTGGAGCAGTGCAACGTGTGTTCCAAGCCCATCATGGAACGGATTCTCCGTGCCACCGGGAAGGCCTATCATCCTCACTGTTTCACCTGTGTGATGTGCCACCGCAGCCTGGATGGCATCCCATTTACCGTGGACGCTGGTGGGCTCATTCACTGCATTGAGGACTTCCACAAGTAAGTCACCTGCTCTATTTCCTTCCCATTGTCAGACCTACTGAAGTCTGTCTGGCATGGGGCAGTCCCTGCTTCTCTCTGAGCTATAGACTCCCAGGATTCAATGAGATCTTTCAATATCTTATCTATCACCAGCCCCTAACCAGGGCAAGCATTGAGCATTAGATCATCCTTGGGAATAGCCAGCTTAGCTTCTGTTTCGAGGTTTCCCTGAGAATCATCTCTGTATGGCACTAGTTGTAATTAAATTGACTCATCCAGAGAGTCTGGGTATGTGAAATAGGCAACATTCTGCCTGTGATGTTTGATCAGTAGTTCAACTTCTCCAAGCTCTTTAACTTGGTCATCAGAACAAACCTTGTCCTAAAGCTCCCATCTGCAACAACCTGTACATCCCTGACACTCCAGGAATGGAAGCCAACAGAGGGCAGACACAGGGAGCAATTCACTCTCCCTCATTAACATATTCAGGGACAGCTGCATGCCATCCATGTCTGGTTTGTGCTCTTTCATAGCCTCTTCCCTGACCCAGGTCCTATCTTCCTCAGGATATTTTCTGGTGATATTTATTCCTACAGCATTATTCATGTTTTGAGATTAGTAAGTACAGATTCAAGATCAAAGCCACTAAAACATAGGCCTGTAAAAATACCCCTCCCCTCCTCATTTTTTTGTTATATAGGTCCTTCTGTAAGAGAGGTTTTGAGGAAAATACAGAATTTTGCCTTTTTAAACAATTTTTATTTGACCAGATCCTTAGCTTAACCTATTGGTCAATCACGTGAGTTATATGTGCATTTCTGTAGATAGCTACAGCTGTGATTTGCAAATGCTAGGCAAGAGGATCCATATTTGTTGGGCAGTGGCCTAGAGAAAACTTTTTCTGGCTCACAAAAGATGACATTCAGTTCCTAATGCTCACCTCTTTGGGTATGTGTTCTATGGCCTCTTAGAAGGGCACCCTCTGGGTTAATTTCCACACTGTTCGCAATCAGCAGCTCAGAGGTACTTTCCACAAGTAGTTTAGGAACCTGAGACTCATATTTTGAAAATGAATTTCCTAGCCACTTTCTAAGTAGCAGAGAAAGTGAAAAACCTCACCAGAATACATGAGGCTGAATGAATTAAAAAAAAAAAAAAAAAAAAAGCAGACACAGAAATTCTCAATCTGAGTTAGGCAAGGAAGGGCTCACTTTTAAAGGGCAGTCACAGCATAAATTGTACTTCACATTATTGATATTTTTAGCTCGTAATTGCACAAGGAAAAAAGAACCTGCATCTATTTCAGGAAGTGAAAAGATACCAATAAGGAGTATATTTCTGTCACCAATTCTCTCCTTTCTTAGGTTTACCCTAATTCCAGAAAGACTGATAGATATAATCAGAGCACACATGTTTCTGTTGCTGGAAAAGACTGATATATTATACCCCTCAATTAAAACAGGAAATCAATTCTGACAACTGTAAGCTTCTATCTCTGCCACTTATCTTTCATTTCTACTGGTGGGGAACATAATTAGAGACTTGCGACTGGTGACATAAGTGTGTGGGTCTGAAATCTCCAAAAAAGCAGACTTAAGCAAAGAAAAGGGAAGAGAAAAATCTCAAGCCCCAGTCCCTGCTCACTAGTTCAATTCATGTCAGAAATTGTATTTTTAAATAATGTTGTCTGCCTAGTTGGCAGGTAGGTAGAAAAGGAGACTTTCTGATATTTTCCCCATTTGCAAAAGGAAAATAAGAAAACATTTTTCAGAATTTTTCCAAGTACTAAAATACAAAACAGCTAACAATTCATCACAGTGTGAGCACCGCAAGTGCAAGAAGATCACAGAAAACAGGGTATATAGAACCTTGTTCCAGACAGGTGATTGGGCAATAGAGAGGGCTTATTCTTGGTCCTTCTCAATGGGTCTCCATCTGTGATCCTTGAGGAAATGTAGCTTAATTCAGTTCCATTCACATTTATAGAGAACCCCTTGTGTAACAATAACTGTGCTTGGTGCAAACAAGAAAAAATCAAGGATATAATTGCACAAAGAGAGAGAGAAAAGAGGAGGGGAGGAGGGCCTTTCATCTAGAAGCTTGCTAGAGGAAGTAGAATGTATGTACAGATGCGATAGCTATTTAAGGCAGAATAGGTAGCACCATGAAGCAAGCACAGAAAGAGTTTGTCAGAGTTGGAAGATATCACTGCTCTCTGGGACCCAGGCAGGCCTTATGGAAGTAGAATAATTTGCCATGTGTGCTAAGTGGAAACAAGGGATTGTTGTCAGGGAATGTAGCTGTGGCTGTTTTAGGCAGGACTTCAAAAATGGGGTCTCCAAATACAGAATCTTGAGACCTTGCTCATGAGCCATTTTCCACTTAAACATTTTTTGGTTAAGGTTGGCTTGTGTCCTCTATTGGGCACAGATTCCTTTCAAACATGCACATATACATGCATACACACACACACACACAAACACATACACACATATTGCCCAAACACTTTCCTACTTCACCTATTGGTTATTCTTGAGAGCCAAATTCACCTACCATCTCCTGTGAAGACTTCTTTCCCATGGTTGAATTTACATCTCTGTAGTTAAGAGGATTTTGTAAATTCTCCATATGTGTATACATTCTCAGAGGATCACCTTAAATTATTCTTTGCAGTAAGATAAAATAGGTATGCATACATTAATAGAACGAATACTGGAATGTATAGATCTCCCACTCAGCTCTGTGTTGTAGTGTTTTTTATTTACTCACTCCCCTGTGCCCATGCATTGAGAAAACCCCAGAGAAATAAAGCTTTATTGTCTCTGTCAATGGGTGGCAGCTTTGTTCTACTATCTAATAGCACCCTGATTGCATTAGTTAGACTCTATGATCATGTAACAAATACTTGAGAGAAATAATTAAAAGAAGGAAAGATTTACTTTGGCCCACAGTTTCAGATTTTTCTACTTCATGACAGGCTAGTATTGTGTTTCTGTTCCTGTGGACATCAGTGCCTCAAAGCAAAATGGCATAGGGTGGCAGAGATATTCATCTCCTGGCAGCTAACTCACAGGGGCTGGGAATAAGATGTGTACTTCGAAGGAACACCCCCTATGACTATTTCCTATAATTAGGCACTTCTTCCTATCTCCACTGCCCTCCAATAATGCCATCAAATTATGACTTAGCAAATAGATTTGTCCATGATGAAATCAGAGCCCCTGTGTTTCGATCACTTCCCCAAATGTCCATCAGTTGGCAAGTAAACTCCCAGTATATAAGCCCATGGAAGACATTTCATATTCAAACCATAATACTTGTTTGTTTATTTGTTAAATCAGCAACTATTTATTGACTGCCAGAAATATGCTGGATATGAGCTATGACTAACATCAATTCTCCCTTGGTTGTAAAATAGAAATAATAGATGCACTTTCTCATAATGCTACTGTGAAGAGAAAACAATATTTAAGTGGGTGACAGACTTGGAGCACAATAAATAATATGTTATAATCACTATAACTGTTTTCATCAGACTTATTATTATTAATTACTATTATTACCATTGTTATCCACTCCTTGAACTAAGCTTTGGAATAGACAGCCTGGGATTTTAAATGAAAACACCAGGAATTCTGTTTACTTCAAGTTTTGCCACCAGGGAATGAGGCTACTTGATAGGAAATAATCATCACTTAGAAAAGATACAGTTTACATTTTTCCAAAAAAAAGAGGAACCTTGAGAGTGAGTCAAAAACCAGGCAATTTCTTTCTTATAGAGAAATATGACGTTACAAGATATTGCTCAAATATCCTTTCTAGATCAGTTGTGGTAGTTAAAGGTAGAACACAGCCTCATTCTTGCAGCTCATAATGTAGTGGTCCCCCAAAATATGCAAATGTCTATATGCAAATACTCAAAATAGGTAAACTCAATGAAAGAGTTCTTATCTTAGAATAGGAAGTAATTCCACTTAGAGAAATTTGGGGAATATGGACTTAACTCTTCCAATTAAGCAACATAGACTGTCTAGGTGGATTAAAAAGCAAGATCCTTTTATCTGCTGCCTTCAAGAGTCACACCTTGCCCCATAAAAACAAACATATTCTGAAAGTGAAAGGCTGGAATAAAATCTACCAAGCAAATGGCCCCCATAAATAGGGGGGAGTTGCAATCCTAATATCAGATAAAATGGACTTCAAATTAAAATTAGTGAGAAGAGATAAAGAAGGTCACTACATACTAATTCAGGGATCTCTCCTTCAGGAGGATATTACAATTCTAAGTATCTATTCACCAAACAAGGGAGCACCCAGATTTATCCAAGACACACTTCTTTTCCTCAAATCTCATATAGATCCACAGACATTAATTGTAGGGGACTTTAACACACCACTATCCCCACTAGCTAGATCAACTCAGCAAAATCTCAACAGAGAAACCACAGATCTAAACAACTAGTCTTAACAGACATCTGCCAAATATTTCACCCAACAGCATCAGAACACACGTTCTTCTCAGCAGCACACAGAACATTTTCCAAAATAGACCATATTTTAGGTCACAAAGCAAACTTGTCCAAATTCAGAAACATTGAAATTATGTCCTGCGTTCTCTCAGAACACAGAGAATAAAATTAGAACTCTCAACACCAAAAGCCACCAAAGAAAGTCCTATAACACATGGAGGCTGAACAACACACTGTTGAACCACCAGTGGGTCATGGAAGGGATTAGAAAGGAAATTCAAATGTTCATGATATTCAACAAAAATGAACACACAAATTACCAGCTCCTTTGGGACACAGCAAAGGCAGTACTCAGAGGCAAGTTTATAGCTCTGAGTTCCTACACCAACAAATTGGAGAGATCTGAAACTAATAATTTAATGAGACATCTGAAGATCCTTGAAAAGAGCTGCAAGTTAAACCCCCAATCCAGTAGATGGAAACAAATAATTAAAATTAAATCAGAATCCAAAAAAATCCATAGAAAGAATCAACAAAACAAAGACTTGG